GCATTGTGAAAAGCGCTATACAAATAAACTTGAATTGAATTGAATATTGTCTTTTATATGTCTCTTTGAAGAAGTCAAGGCAGCATTTATTTGCTCATAAATACAGTAAAAAATTGTTAAATATTATTACATCTTTAAATAAGTGTTTTCTATTTTAATAAATTTAATAAACTCTGAATTTTCAGCAGCCAGTATTCAGTGTCACGTGTGTGTGTGTGTGTGTGTGTGTGAATTTATCTTTCATAAATCTTTCTAATAATGCTGATTTGGTGTCTAAGACACCTTTCTTATTATTATCGATGTTGAAAAAAGTTGTGCTGCTTACTATTTTTGTGAAAACTGATTTTTTTTTTTCAGGATTCTTTGTCAGCAATAGAATGTTTAAAAAAAACTGCATTCATTTGAGACATTTATTAACATTCTTTGCTGTCACTTTTAATCAATGCAATGCATCCTTGCTGAATAAATGCATAAAAAAAAAAAAAAATAAATAAACTTACTGCCCCCAAATGTTTGAACAGCAGTGTATATGCGACAAAAAGCTGTCAATTTAGCTTGTACTCACAGTGTCAGCAGTCATTGAGATGTCAGAGTCGATGTCTCTATCTGTGTGTAATTCACCTTGAGGTTCTCGGCCAGTGTGCTGTAGTATTCCTTGATGTCCATGATGGCTGGAGTGATATCAAAGGAGGAGAACTGCAGGGATACAGTAGGAGAACCTTCATCTGGAGTCCTGGGCTCACACAATTTCTCCATCCTCTGTAGACAAACACAACATTATGACTTTTCGTTTTCTCCTCAGGTAACAATATCTGCCCGTGCGAGACAGGGCAGTTGTTCATTAATCTGGGCCTGATGAAGTGTTCATGAAAAGGAGATTGAGTCCAAGTCTCAGCTTGTTCTCCTCAACATGAATAATGAGAGAGTGGCAGATGTATCAAGATAATAACAGCAGTTAATAAAACAAGAAGAACTTCTGTTTTCATTTCATATGCCTGAACTGTGAGTTATGCTGCACGTCCCAGAGGGAGGTCAATGGAAATTTCTCTGTTTCCAGCACTTGAGTACCCGCAGACTCCCCATATATTCTTTCATTCTATGTTTTGAGGGACCGTGTTTCCTGTCAGTCTCCATTCCGCAAAACCTGTTCCCCTTACGATCAGAGGAGACACTTTAAATGGCCAAACCCCCACAAGACCATTCCAAGAATTCAGAGGTCTAAGGTAAAATTGCCTTTTCTGATAACAACTAAGAAGTAACAAGAAGAAGTGTTATTGACGCAACATTCTGCCTGGCCTTACCGTTTCATGCTGCCTCTCCATGGCGGCCAGCTGCTCCTCATAGATGGCCACTTGCTCTCGAAGGGCCAGGCAGTCAGTGGTAATTGCATCCACTTCCTGAGCGGGGCAGCAGAAATAAAGGTCAATTCAAACACAACGCACTTACCCTCAACATCTTCTATCGTGAGCATCATCAGTGCCACCAGGTTTCCCCCAGCAAAGACTGCAATGCAGGGAAGAAGAGATCCACATATGTAGCCCGACATACAACGGTTCAGACAAAGCTACACTTTATTCGGCTCATCTGGGTATCTTAAGTGCCTGATTAATTGGCGATGAATTCAATTACTCAGAATGAAAGCATTTGCATGTGAATGCTGCAGTGTGACGGTGGGTCTGGGCGGCAGAGGAGGCGCATTGCACACACACTCTTCCCTGGAGCCCAGAATTGGCACAGTGGCCGCTGTTCCCGTTATCTCAGCGTGAACACAAGCCCAGTACTGGAGAGAGTCTAGACAGCGTTTCGATGCCGATTTGCTTCCTCTATTCCACACTGCCGAAGGGCTGAACTTCACTATGGTGGATGCATTCCAGTTAGATGCTTAAAATCATACTTTCTCATGCTATTTATTTTTTTTCATATAACCACTGTTCTCACTTCTTTAAAATGCCAGTTCAAACCAGTTTAGGGAATCCAAACAAGTGAAGACACAAAAATGCATATAGAACGCCAGGTTTATGTCTCTAAAGTATATTATTTATACAGCTGCAACCCCACTTCTAAATTATCCTTCTGACTACCTCTTTGGTTCTATTCCTGTTTTGTGCTTTCCCTCCAACCCTCCTTACTCCTCTCAGCCCAAGCCGGAGAGCTAAGCCCTGCTCTGTTGCATCTAGGAGATATGAGAGGCTGAATGAGTGAATTATTAGGCATGGTGAAAGCTTTCTCACATCTGCTCTTTTACTGGAGATGTGCTCTGACATCTGTGGGGTGACGGAGTGGTTTCTACACAAAGCAGCTCGGGTTTCAGAGCGGCCACTGGCCGAGAGTCAGCGAGGTCTGTAATCAGGACTCTCCAGAGCGGATCTGGAAGCAGCAGCTGTACTGTGCCACTCCAGACTTTCACACACCTCCACCAACGTCAGAACACCCAACCCCACCCCACCCACTGCACAGGCTAACACTGCCATCTAGTGGTGGGGAAAGTGTAGAACTTTGCAAAAGTTCATTTAAAAGCCTATATTCTGGCGTATAAATGCATAGATTTGTATCTGGTGGGAAGGTGTGAGGTAGTGATTAAGGTTACTGCAAGAAGTGTTCCTACCCTGCAAGAAGTGCATTTTTCTGTATCAAGTTGCTTTGGATTAAAAAAAAAGAACCCTTAAATGACTTCCTGTTTAAAATTGCACAGTGGCATCCAAAAGGTATTTGGACAATTAAGCCACAATTAATATATGAATTTGATTGCATTAGACATAAAACACCTGATAAACTTTCATAATTAAGACAAAATGTATGTGGATATTTTGATTGAATCAGTGTTTGTATTGTTAACTAACTAAAACGCAAACTTTTTAAAACCGTTTTTGGTAACTGAACTATAAATAAAATTGAATATTAAATGAAAAAAAAAACTTAAGAAATAAGTTGAAGTACTAAAAGTACTAAATCTGAGATAAAAATAAGTTAAAGGTAAATAGAAATATATATATTTAAAAAATGACAAATGCTCAACAAATTTACTAAAACAAACTAAAATTAAAATGCCAATAATAATAATAATTATAATAATAGTAAATAAAACTAAAATAAAAACAGTACTGAGTGTTTTGTGTTTGTCAGACTTGTCCATAGTTAATATGTCCACAGAGTAATGTAAAGTATAGCAAAAATAGCAAAAATAACAGGAGAAGTGAAAATAAAAAAGGTTCATTTCTTTAAAGAGTGGGTTTGGTATTGTTATAATTTATCAAAAGCTGTGAAATTCAACTTTAAGTGTGGCTGAAATGTCCAAATACATTTTGGGGCCTGTATATACACTGCATAGAAAATAACATCTGCAGTATTCATGGCATTACCACAGAAACAGCATCTTGTTCTTGCTGGATGAATCTCTTGTGCTCAACCACCTGATCGTATTTCATCTGCAGACGCCACAGTTCACCCTTCAGCTCTTCTGTGTTGCATAAAATCTCCTCCTGAGGGAAACAACAGGCCAGCAGCAATGAAAGAACCAATAAAATAGATCATGTACTAAAGAAACTATGACATTTGAGGAGAAAACACACACAACTGTATTTAATTTTATCAAGTGAGGCATAAATGTGCAGCACCACCCAGGCCAGAGTTTCTGAGTGGTACCTTCTCTTTCCGTAGCCTCTCTATCACCGCCTCCAGACTGTAGTCCACAGGACCGCTGATGCTGACGGTGCTGGTGGAGATCTGCTCTGACTCCAGCCTCTACTCCAGCTCAAGAATCTCAGCCTCCAGAGACTCGTTCTCCTCTTCTAGACACCAAACCTACAACAGCCACACATAACTATGGTATGAAAGTAGAGGACATGTAACATACAAGAATAAAAGCTTATGCTCAAACTGTTGTATCATATTACACCACGCAGTAGAGGACACTGTGACTGCGGCATCTTCATGGCCTTAATATGATTTTCCTCATACCTTCAGGCAAAAGACTGACCCCATTAAACATCATGGAAATATGATAATTGGGCCACACACAGGGAACCCATTAAATCCAGCACGAGCACAGCTGGTTGTTACCCAGAAGAAAGTAGGGTGTGTGTATGAGTGTGAAGATTTTCATACGTCTCACCACGTCGATGAGGCCAGCCAGGCGATCGTTGAGGGCAGCAATGACAGAGCGTTCATGGACAAATTGAGCCACGCCCTCCTTGTTCAGGGCACGAGCTGCAGCAAAATCCAGCTCTGGACATTCACGCACTGAAACTCCACCCCTGTCAAACAGACTTTGAAAGCTTTCCCATGTCTGCAATGGCTTGTTTATTTTCTGCACAAGCATAAGCAAACAATATTGAAGGAAAAGAGGTAATACTGAAGCACAAAAGAGCTTAACTAATAACACTTTTATGTAGTTTATTTAGAATTTAAAGCAAGAATAAAGAGTGAAGTCATTGTTACATGATTCAATTTAGGATTTTGGATGGATGTACATGCCTGGTTGCCAGATGTACAGTATACAGCAGGGCTCTACAGTGCGACTGAAAACTACTGCGTGCGACTATGACATTTTTTTAGGAGCAGCAGTGCGACTGACCCGATCATCATCATACTTGTGATATAAATAAATAAATCAATATGTGTGTGTAAAGACAATATTCCTCCCATTGTTTTATAAGATAACCCTTTTTCATGGGCCATTTGAGTCTAATTACTCTGAAACATTCAATAGGTAAATATCATCCAAACAAGTAAATGGAAAACATTTTTTTTTCCAAATGTAATTGTTAAAACATCAGTGTTTCAAATTATTTTAAGAAACAATACACATACATACACTACCGTTCAAATGATTGGAGTATGACAATTTTCTTTTTTTCAGAAAGAAGACACTCAGCAAGGCTGCATTTCTTGAGCAGAAAATCAGCATATTAGAATGATTTCTGAAGGATCATGCGACACTGAAGACTGGAATAAAGTACATTTTAAATCATCAAAATAGAAAACAGTAACTTTATACTGTCATATTTCACAATATTACTGTTTTTTTATTAAATAAATGCAGCATTGGTGAGCGTAAGGGACTTCTTTCAAAAACACTGAAAAAGTGTATCAACCCCAAACTTTTACATATAATAAAAACTAGTACTACTACTTAGTGTGAAGTGTAAAACAAAAATGAATTCTAACAGTGTGAATGAAGATGAAACTGAATCATGTCTTAACTGATTTTATATGGAGGAATTCTCTGAAATGACAAAAAAGCAATTCTATGCCGATTCCTAAATATTAATTCACAATCTAGTGTTCAAAATTTACCACACCATGCGTAGGCTTTCAGACTAATACGCACTGACCTGGCAGTGAAGCGGGCCTGGACTCCACAGCGTCCTGCAGCCTGGCTCCACTGCTCCGCCTCAAATAGCTTACGGTAGGAAGACACTCTCAGCAGGGCCATGACAGCAGCAGGAAAGCAAGAAAAGATGATGACCGCACAAACCGGGGGTCTTTATAGATGCCGTGCTGAGAATGTCACAGGCACTTGTGGGATCTCTCACTGAACACAAGGTGGACTAACTAGAGGAACAGCGTCAGAAGATAAACCTTTCACATGGAGCAGAAACAATCCAGCAACTGCAACACGATTGGAGGCCACTCCTTCAGAAAGCAGTTACACTGACACAATGACAGTTCAGCTTTGAAGAGCTTATTAAGAATTATTAACTTAGCAAGCACCAATAATAATAATAAAAAAATTAAAAATCCCAAAACACTAAATAATATGATCATAACGTCTTTATTTCATTGAATAAATTAGATGCCCGGCCCTCCCCCACAAATAAAACAAAGTATGTGCAAGTACCCATCTGTAAAGTACCAGAAACATCATTACAAAAACTGAATGGATAGAAAGACAGGACACAACAATAAACAAACAGGCAGGGTGGTGATCACAGCACACCAGAAATCTGTGTAATGGCCATCTGCATTTCTGTTCCACTGATTCAGTCTCCTGCAATGAGGTCCTCCCAGAAACATCATCTATTGGCATTGATAAGAATGATTTCAGGCTATAAGTGTTTGAATAAGACAGTCAAGCTCCATGGTGGTCCTTTCCAAAGCAGAAATTAGAAAAAAATAAGCCCAACAGAAAGCTCAGACACAGACAGGGGCTTGTAAACATGGCAGAGGATGTGAAGTGATTTAGATGTCTGACATCATCGGAGAACATCGAACCACAGCCAATATCATTCACAGAATTGTCACTATTTAGAGTTTTCAACATTCTCATGAAAAATGAGCAGAAATTGTACCATTTGTAAATTGGGCAGAACCCCAAGGACATCTTTGTAACTTATTTACAACTTAAAGGTGCAGAGCAGTACCTTAAAGGTACATATTACTACTCTACAGGTACTAATATGCATCTTTTAGGGTTATAAGGTACAAAGATACCCTTTTAAGGGTACTGCCACAAGCTGTTGTACACCTAAATTTACAATTTCCACACTTTTTTTTTCTGACAGTAAGGGAAGGCAGAACAACGAGTCAGAAATTGCTTACAACTCTTTTTCCAAGTTGCAAGACTGACACAAAACATTTCCTGTGAGATTTTGAGGAAATGTTGCTAATGGACAAAGGCAACAATGTCACACGCATTGTGGAGAAACAGCTTTGGTGGTTTGTGCTGCGATAATATTTTAGCATTGGGGTGATGATTAATACGAGTATAACAGAGGAGACTTCCTCTTCACACACTGTAGTACAAAACCAGACTGACTGGTGCAAGAAGTTAAAAACCAGCAGAATTATCAGAATTTCCCGATGTGCACTATGAATTCAAGAGAGATAAAACACACTCCGGTATGTGACTAGAAACAGAAAAGTGTACAGAAAAACAGAAAGTGTAAATGTAACATGAAACAACACCAACAAAGGACACAAAGACTGTAAACGTACACAAAATGACCCCAGTCTGGGTTAGTATCAACATTCATATAAATAGAAGAACCACAACAGCATCTTCATTACAAGACATGACAGCTAAAAGACAATAAAAGACCCAGTGAGCACATTAGTTAAAATGTTAACATCTCTGTAGCACGACAGGATCCAGAACAGATCTGTAAAAGAATAAGACCACAAAAGAATAAAAGTTTCAGACCCAGAGTCCAGATCTAATGAAGGTAACCACATCCGCTCATTGCCATTATTCAAGGCGAGTAAGAATTATGGGTGTGGTTGTGCCATCACAACGGACTGAAGAGGAGACCGGAGACCGTGTTTCTGAAGAATAACAGATAACAGATTACATTTATCTGTGGAGGACATCCAATTGCCCAATGCTGAGGACAACTGTGTATGAGACTGGAAAACATAAATAAAATGTGCGCACCACAACGGACAATGCCGGCTGATTCATCATGATTCAGATAGAACTGAGTAAAGATCATAGTCCAGACTTCTCCACTCAGAAAAGGTAGTCGATTGTCAAAGTTACCTTGTAGGAAACACTTCTCTGTGAAGGTCATTTTCGAAGGAGAAAAGGAAGAGAGCATTAGACAGATGGAAAATGGTGCTTTGACGGAGCATTTAACCTGGCAGCAGCTGTCAATTCAATCTCCACAACATGGCTTTCCTTTAGTGTAACAAAGTCATTCCTTTGAGTGCCCATGAGTCACATTCACACACATTCAGTCAAATCTGGCCGGGAATATTAGATTTGGCATTACAGCACTCTGATCCAGAGGTTAAAACCAGAGAAAGTGGGGTTGCACATAGCATTATAGATGCTATAGTCAAAAAGATGAGGTTTGTAAGGGTTAAAGTGTAGTTATTAATACTACAGAAATAAACTGACACCTATTCCTCTGTAGCAGGAACAGAAGAACAGCGTAATGTAACCAATAGGCAGTGTCTGTGCAAAACAGGCACTATCCAACAGTGTCAAACTTTCATCACCGAGGCTGTTAACCATCTTAGTGCAGGGTGGCCCAAATATCTCCCAGAGGACCAGCCACAAACACACCTCAAGTGTCTTCATGCTCCACCTGAACACATCTGAGAGAAGACATAACACCTCGTTCCGCAGTCCTCTTCCTCAGTCTTCATCGCCTCCCATCAGGAACCCCAGTATGAAGTCGTTGGCTTTCTGACGATCGTGTTGCATCTGTTTGCCAGCAAGGTTGGGAGGCGGCCGAATGAGGAGGCTTGCGAAGAGAGTAGCTGGTGAAGAGGTACAAGAAGAGATAGAACAGTAACGCACCTGAATGTTTGCAATCTGCTGGCACTAGAGAAAGTCAGACTCACCTAGGAGGTTGGCATTCAGGTTGTTGTCAATCGAGTGTTTGAGTAATTCTCTCAAGAAGGCCATCAGGTAGCGGAACACATTGCGATGGGCACGTGGGAGCTGAGATACTAGCTGCCGTTTTAGAGGAAAACCAAGAATTAATCCTTAAACTTTATTTCTTGGTTTAAAATGCATTTTGAATCTTATATTCTTCAGTGTGGCCTCAAACTTTTGGAAGCCACTGTATTTTAGATGCTTGTCATAAGATCAATGTAAAAAAAGACCACTCTAAAAAAAATAATAATAATAAAAAAAAAAATACAATACAAATATTGACTTTCGATTAAAGGGGTCATATGATGTTGCTAAAAAGAACATTATTTTGTGTATTTGGTGTAATGAAATAAGTTTATGCGGTTTAAGGTTCAAAAAACACATTATTTTCCACATACTGTACATTATTGTTTCTCCTCTATGCCCCGCCTTTCTGAAATTGTTTTGCTTTCACAACGAAACACACAGTGCCTTCACGACATGGCGGCGGCGGCAGCAACAATACTACAGCGAGAATAAAAGTTACACCTTCTTTCTTTGCGTAAACATTTGGGTGGCGTTATGCAAATCTTCCCACATCGTGACGTAGACATGTGGGGGCGTGTTAGAACGAGCCGTTTTAGGTAGGTGTGGCTGACTCAACTTTTATAAAGAATATCTCTTTGGATTTGAGACTTTAGTCTTTGCAACTTTTCAGATCTTCTTTATGCACCAAGAGCTTGTAACACTCCAAAGAGAAAAGAAAAATTGAAATCGCATCATATGACCCCTTTTTGATAATTTGAACAGTCTTCTGTATAAAATATATGGCAAAAATATGGTTGGATGGTTGAGACATGTGCACATATATATATATATGAAAGCTTAGGGGTAGTTAGATTTTTTGTACGTTTTTCAAAGTATCATATGCTTACCAAGGTTGCATTTATTTGATCATAAATATAATAAAAACTGAAATATGGTGAAATATTATTAAAATTTAAAACTCTTTTATTTTATTATGCAAATTGAAATTTCAACAAAGTTCAAAAGATTAGCATTTATTTGAAATACTGTCTTTACTGGTGACTTTTGATCAATTAAAAGCATAAAATAAAAATAATTAAATAAGAATAATAATAAGAAGAAATATATAAACTCCCAAGGGGAAAAAAATATATATAATAATAATAATAATATATATAAGTTTGGGGTAAGTAAGATTTATATATTCGTGAGTTTATAACAGTATAATAATTTTACACAGTTATATTAATAGTTTTACATAAATGTTTAAAGTTTTTTTTTTTTTTTGATTATCACAAATAAACATCAACTGAACTGCATAGTTTAGACTCCATTGTTAATTCTGTATAAGTTACATCAATAGCTGAGAGACAGTTTCTTTCATATAAGCAAAATGGACAATAAAATACACCCAAAGTGAATCAGAATCAAATCACATTGAATGCAGAATCATATGGAGAGCTTGTGAATAGGAACTGAAACAAGAACATACATAGATAGCACAAATAGCATATTAAATACATAGTCTTGACAGTCCCAGTATAGTTACTGCCATGCATCCATGTTTACCTGCTTGCACAGGCGGCTGTCATGAGAGCATTCAAGACAGCGCTGATAGAGTTCATAACACAGCACAGGCTCAGGAAGAGCCTCCAAGAAGATCAACAGTGCTTCGGCAACTGAGTGATTAGAGCCAGCTAACCAACAGTCAAGGAGAACCATGGTGAACAGTGGGAATGCACATATTAGCATCAGGAAGAGAAAATACAGCAGTGAGAAAAAGGAAAAGACAGGGAGAGAAAAGTACACAGTGTCTCTAGGGATGTCTCGAGCACCATTAGAGTAGGACAGAGGAAACATTCTCAGTCTCTCAGCAGCACAGGGATGAATTGTGTGGGAGAGTCCAGCCAGTCAGACCAGTTTTAAAGGGAGCCACTCGGTCACATTCACTGACGTGACAGACATTAGCATTTGTTTGCTAACTCTGAGAACCCTTTAAAAAGGTTTGTACAGACTACCAAATATTAATCTATCTGCTGGGAAAAACTCATCCTTTCCATATATAAACCTATTTATATATCTTTTGGTGGGAAAGGATACGGATGGATTCAGGAATGCTGGTGTCCAAGCAGTCAATAATACTTTGTAGATCATCTTGCAGGCCAGGGGTCTGGAAAAGGTCCTCCTGTGTATATAAAAAACTCATTAGTAATTTGAGATGTTATGGTTAATCATTGGTGCATTCATGCTTTATTTTGTTTACCTGCTGGCAGGCCTTGGTGTAGAGGTGATTAACAAGTAACCAGACCTCTTTGGGAATCTTCAGAGGTTTATCCTCTGTTCCAGCACTGTCCAACAAGAAATTAATCCGGCATTTCTCCTGTGAAATTGAAAAATTATCACTTTCTTACAAACTATATTTAATTCTGTATTAACTTTAAGAACAGAGACATAAGGTATCTTGTAGTACTTTCCACAAATACAGCACATTTTGGTGTCACATTTTTTTAAATGTGCTAGATCCTATACTTTTGTTTACTTTCGTATACATTTTGTTGAACTATTCTCTCAACTCTATTCTCAACTGTATCCAACATTTAAAATCATAAAACACTGACATTTAGTTGAAATGATATTTAATTAAGTGGAACTGCATGCTTTTCTGCCAAAATAACTAAAAACATTTCTTAAAATTGTCACAGCCAATTTTAAAAAAAATATATTTTTGAAAGTTTATGCTCACCAAAGCTACATTTATTTGATCAAATATAGTAAAAACAGTAATAGTGTGAAATATTATTACAATTTAAAATAACTGTTCCTATTTTAATATATTTTAAAAAGCTATTTATTCCTGTGATGGCAAAGCTGAATTTTCAGCAGCCATTACTTCAGTCTTCAGTGTCACATGATCCTTCAGAAATCATTCTAATATGCTGATTTGCAGCTCAAGAAACATTATAGTTTATAATTAATGTTAAAAACTTTTATATAATGTCATATTGTAATATTAATGAAATTAATACAATGATAATGTAATATTTAAGTTTTTTTTTAAATTTGCACCCTTTTTGTGGGAAGTGCCTTTAAAAATACAGATGTTTGTTAAGATGGTTCTAGTACAACAGTACAACCTGGAGAATGACCACATTGTTAAAACTTTAAAGCATATAACAGCCATAACAAATTAATCCATGTGACATTTGAAAAAGGGTGACAAATAACATTGCACTCTCTCTCTCTCTCATACAGATGTAGAAATGTATTACGTGGAGATAAGTGACAGCCCCAAGACCACTGAACAATATAAGGGGACTCATGCAATTAGTAGGAATGCAACTCATGCTGAGCCACAGAGGCAAAAACAACTCTGAAGAACAGTCGAATCCAAATTACAAACACTGATTTGTGAGGCAGGTTTCGCCATGCTGTGAGCTGCTTTCTCTCTCTACTAATCTAATATCGCTGGCTGGTGAGCAGTGAGCTGGGTGATTAAAGGAGGGGCAGAATTCAAGCCGAGAGATTCAAGCCTCAGTGACTTTCATTAGCCTGAACCAGCAGAGTGACTGCAGCAAGCTGACCTATAGGAACGGGCAAGCACATCGAGACACTGTCACACTGGGACAAACATTTAAAAACAGGACAAAGTCACCCACAAACACACATGTAGGTCACAATAATTGCAGCTGTCCGATTGCATAACCTAATACGTCTTTTCTGTGGATAAAGAGGGACTTTACCTTTTCCATGCAGCTATCCTCTCCCTGAGAGTCATGCAGACCCAGAATGATTGGTCGGAAAGGAGTAGTCAGAGAAGAAAGGAGTAAAAGAAGGGACAGAGATGAGACAATAGAGAAACAAACAGTGAGAACACGGAGCCAGTATTGCAAAATCACAGATAAGCAGCTTTCGGCAATCAAAGGTGATCACTGAAAAGCAGAGAGACAGAAAAAAAACTAAAGATGACTACTCTCTAAATGAAAAACTAACCATATTTTGAGAATATAGCAGCAAATGGAAATGTTACGAACAGCACGGGTGGCTTGCATGATGACCTACTGGTCCTGAACAACCTGTATCCCATAAAAACATTTATTTCTGTACATGACTTCCTCATTCTAGCCTCAAAGAAGAATCATGTCAAACCGGACATCTAAAATCTCTTATCTAAAATCTGGGGGCAAAATTCCTTGCCACTGTCTGTCATGACCTTCCACTGGCAAAGAAAGGAAGACGACAGCTTTTGCAACATCAGCCACTTATCCTTACTTAGCCATGAATCCTGTGATTATAATCCATCTAAATCAACTGAAGCTGCGGCCTGTGCCTCACCAGATCGATGAGTCTGGTGATGGGGATCTCACGGATGGGCTTCTTCATACGGCACAGGGTCTCTAAAGATGTGCCGAAACAGCTGGGCAGGTATTTTCCCGCAACAGTGATGAAGTAGTCTTTCCCCCGGTCCAGATGAAGCACCAGGATGTCCTCGATTTTATCCTCACCAGAGTTTAGCAGCGTCACAGAGTCTTTACTGACATACACCTCCAGAAAGATCTCCATTGCCTCATCTACAAGGAATAGGAATATATAGACAATGTGGAGGAT